CCGGCGAAGTCCTGCCTTTTTCCTCTGCTCGGACCGAAAGGTGCTTGCAACCGGAACGAGTCTGCGAGCTGCTCAAGCTGTCAAGCTTGCAACCCTAAACCCTAAACTCTTAACCCTAAGCCCTAAACCCTAAACCAACCCTAAACCCTAAACCCTAAACCCTAATCCAATGACCGGCGAACGTTGGAGCTAAGGGTTCAAGCGCCCATACGCAAGTTAAAGGGATTCCAGGTCAAGAGCCCTAAGGGACTCGGCCCCAGACTGTCTCCTGCATGTATATATATATATATATAATATTATCTATCTTTTTATATTATATATATATATTTATATATTATATATATATATATATATTATATATATATATTATGTGTGTATATGTGGGAGTTTCCGGAAATTAGGGGTACCTTATTGTTTGTGGTCCTTATAATAAGGATCCTACTGTTTAGGGTACCCTTTTTGGGGGTCCCCTATTTTCGGAAACCCCCCATATGGGCAACATGGACCCTTCGGGCGGGCAGGCATGCGAAGCTTAGACTGAAGTGCACAAGCAGGCTGCGCATCGCTGGGGCTTTGAAATTGAAAGAGAGGTTTCTAGCGCTGTTACACCCCAAACAAAATCAGCACTGGCTTGGGGCTACTAACTTCAACCCCTCAAGCCCAAACCCTAAACCCAAACCCTTCACCCTTGAAGCGAGGCTTTTCGGGATGCGCCTATTGCAAGACCGCCGGAGGTTTTGCTTCATACTTGAAGTTTGGGGGGCGTCTATGACTAGACCGGGGTCTTGAGGGTTTAGTACAAGGATCTATTGACACAAAGGGGATGTGAGTGCCACCCCCAGAGCAGACTTAGAAGCCGTCGTCCGGTCAGCTGGGAAGCAGACTTCGAAGCATCTCCGTAACCATGAAAGACCTGCTTGGAGGACCATGGGACTTAGTAAGTAAGATTATAAGTCCCTTCATGGGGTCATAAGTATTGGGGTCATAAGTATAGTTACCCTGATTATAACCCTACTTACTAAGTCCCATGATCCTTTAAGTGAGCTTAGGGGTTGAGGGGTTCACGGCCCCTACCATGCCTAGTGATGCTGTCATGTTTGTTCACAACAAGCTTCTTACCGTGAAGCCCCAGGCTCGGAAACCCTGCATTCGGAACAACCCCCGACGGTTCTGAGGCAAACATCCACCACTGCCCTGAATGCTCAGGCCTTGCAACGATCCAAAGATCTAATTTCCAGAGATCTCAGCCTTCCTCGTATGGCCAACGCTTTCGTAAGCGTTGTAAACTAGCATGCCCCCTAAACCCTAAACCCTAAACCCAATGTTGTCCGAGGGGCGGTAGCATGTAGGCCAAGATCTGGAACATGCCTTGCCATCGGGGCACGAAGGCTCTATGCCATGAAACCTAAACACTCAACCTACTGCAGGGGCCTTCTCACCTCAAAGCCACCACCCCCCAGATTGAATTCTAATTACCACCCTAACCTCTACACCCCAAACCTTGAAACCCTCACCTCAAACCCTACATCCTCAATGCCTCCTTCTCGAAGCCCTGCCCGGACCATTCAAGACTTTCAGATGCCGCAGAAAGGGCACATATTGCATGCCTAAACCCTAAACCCTAAACCCTAGACCCTAAACCCTAAACCCTAAACCCTAAAACACCAGCTTTCAACACCAAGCCCCGAAACTCTCAAGCCAAGCTTCAAACTCAAAACCCCTGAGCCTAACCTAACCCCTACAAAGCCCGAATCCCAATCCCTGAAAGGGTTTAGGGTTTAGGGGTTTAGGGTTTAGGTTTAGGGTTTAGGATTCAACAGGAAGCTACCCTAGATTCTAGAAAGCCTAAACCCCAAACCCTGAACCCGAGACCCTATAACCTTATACCCCTAAATCCTAAACCCTATAAGCCCTACACGCTAAACCCTATAAAGCCCCAAAGCTCTGGTCGAAGCTGCTGTGGCTGGCTTTCCTCTGTCGGAGGGCCAGAACGAAGCCTCAAACTTTGGCCATGGGAGTTGGTTTTTTTTTCATATTAGGGTTTAGGGTTTAGGGTATCAAGGGCGACTGGGGTTTGCGGCTTCTTCCCCTTCTCTGTCTGTCATTATTGCTGCCGGGGTCCTTGGGGTCTCGTTTGTTGTATCTTGGCTTTGGTCTTGCTTCGGAGTCTGAGGTTCAGGTTAAGGTTTGGGTTTAGGGTTTAGGGTTTAGGGTTTAGGGTTTAGGGGTTTAGGGTTTAGGGTTTAGGCTTTGGGCAGGGGTGTGAGGATCCAGGGTTGAGGGTTTTTCATTCGTCTATCCCTCGATCGTTCGAATCATGAGAGGCTGCATCCAAGGGTCTGCCTCGACTCTGACAGTGTTTATCATCTCTGCATTGGAAATGCACTGAGAGGGCAGATCACCATGGACATTACAAGTGAGAGCGACTACCTGTCCAAACTCTGCAAAATAGTAGACAGCAAGTTAATGCATCCTCAAGTACATCCTCAATCACTCTCTCCGTACCCAAACCGCCCATGAGGTCCACCGACTTCACTGAGGCATGGACTAACTTGATCCGCTCGCTCCATGTACCATTTCCTGCGACTCTCACAGCAGGGGCTTTTCCTGCTTTTTTGTTATCTCGACAAGTACGGTGGTCATGCCCATGACTAAAGCCAAAATCACGACGAGGATGCAGAACGATGACTCAGGACGACGATGGTGTGGGCGTGGCAGCGGGGGTTGTTGCCGGTCCCTGGCCATTATGACGATGGCAGTGACAACGCTTCATTACGAGGATGACGATCCGGACGAACGAGTGTAGAGGAGAAGGAGGACACAACGATGAGGGGTAGGAGCAGTAGCAGGAAGAGGGCGAGGAGGAGAGAGACAGGACGACCAGGACCAACGACTACGACTGCCAATGCCATGCGTCCTGCGCTTCGGATTCTTTTGTTGATAGCCTATGTCAACGGTAATGCATACTTGCCAGCAGCAGCTCGAACGCAAGGGGACTCCACATGTTTTACAAAGACTCCTGCACTGTTATGACCTCGAACTCCTAAACAGTAACTCCAAACGAAATCGTACGGACTGCGGAGCTCTTCACCTTCCACATTTTCGGTCGAGGCCACTCAGTCTGCAAACCCTCTTCCACCATGCTAAACGCTCGCTGTTGCTGATTCGGGGTTGGGGCTCGGCGCCTGGGCTTTGAGGTTGCGAGACGGCTCTATCAATTACGTGGTCTGATATGGGAGTTTCCGAAAATTAAATAGGGGTACCTTATTTGGGGGTCCTTGTAATAAGGATCCTACTATTTAGGGTGCTATATTAGGGTCCCCTAGTTTCGGAAACCCCCATATGGCTGCTGCATGTTCTTGTTGTATCGGCTTGGTGTAGCTTCAGATCTGCAGCAACCCTAAACCTAGAGTCCTAAACCCACGCAGCTTCCATTTTTATCAGGGTGCGAGGCTTTCGTGGATCTACAGCAGCCCTGAACCCTAAACCCTAAACACTAACCCCTAAACCCTAAACCCAAACCCCTAAACCCTAAAGCCTAAAGCCTAAACTTGCCGAGGCTTGAGAAGAGGATCTGCAGAGCCAACCCGGCTACCGTGGGCCTCTGGCGAGCAGCCTCGTTCACCAAGAACAAGAAGATTAGGCCTTGGGTTTAGGGCATTTAGGGTTTAGGGTTTAGGGTTTAGGGTTTAGGGTTTAGGGTTTAGGGCATTTAGGGTTGGCTTGAGGCTTCTGGCTTAATAATGAGAATAAGGTTTTGGGGTAGATTGTAACTATAACTATGATAAGGAGCCCCCCCAAAACCCTAGTCTTTGTTTCTTTGTAAGACTCGGCTTTCTTTCGAAGATCAGCCACAACGCGTCTTGGGATTTTGGGGGCTACTGGGGCTGAGGAGCTGCGGTTTCGCGGGCGTCGGGTCTATGGGGTTGCGCACCTCTTTAGGGTTTAGGATTTAGGGTTTAAGGGTTTAGGGTTTAGGGTTTAAGAGTTTAGGGTTTAGGGTACCTCACTTCATATGTTTCAGGCGATGCCCTCATCTAAAAAAGCCCTGAATTACCCAATTAAGCTCGAAGAGGACTCTAATTACCACCCGGAAGCACTACCCATAGGCCCCATAGTAGTTCCTTTTAGGGGATACCTTATAGGATTCTATATATGAGCCCCCCAAAAGGAACCACTTTAGGGCCTATGATTAGTGAAGCAGAGATGGGGAGTCACTTGGAGGCTCGGGGTGTTTGGGTTTTTGGGTTTGGGTTTTGGGTGTACTTGGAGGTTCATGGGTAGTTATAAGTAGGGTTATATGTAGGGTAACTATAATCATAAACCATATTAGGGGACCTATAACCCCACTTATAACTACCCATGAACCTCCAAGTAGGGCTTGGGGCTTCGGCTGAGGGTTGTGCTGTGAAGGATTCGTCAGGGCATGAGGGTGTCAAGCGCAGAGCCCGAAATGCGTAAGCCTTCGAGAGGAGGATTTCGGAGCTAGCGCCCTAAACCCTAAACCCTAAAACCCTAAACCCTAAACCCTAAAGAAGATCGAGGAGCAGAGACACCGCCTGCCGAGACCCAAACAGATCTCCGCTCTCTGAGCAGCATCTCCCGCGAACACCAGAAGCTCTGAACTTTAATATAGAGGCCTTAAAAATTAGAATAGGGTTTTGGGCCCCTTATACTATGATCATCATAAGGAACCCCAGAATAGTGTTGGTAATTTTTTAGGCTCCTATAGTAGGCCACCCTAAACCCTAACCCCTAAACTTCAAGCCTTCTTGGCCGGATCCCCGTCCCCAAACTCGCCCGAAACCCCAAGGCCTGAACCAAAGCCCAAGCTCTACATCAACACCTCAAACCCCAAGGCTACTGCAAACCCTAAACCCTGCTTGGAGGAGCATTTGACTTAGTAAGTCAGGTCATAAGTCCCTTAATTGGTGTTATAAGTATAGTTACCCTAATTCTAACTCTACTTATTAAGTCCCTGGATCCTTTAAGTAAACCCGTAGCCCTAATTCCCAACTCGCAAGTGGAGAGGTTCGAAGCTTTGTTCCATCACCGGGGTCGCTGCCAATCAACGAGTCGAAGTAGGCATGGTATCCTTACCACCAAAGAAGGCTCTCTAAGCATTCCACATAGTTTGTGTGTGTGTGTGTTGAACGTGACACTACAACTGCGAGTACTATCAGCACCAGAAGGCTTCTTGGGAGACGTAAGAAGGGCTCGTCAATCAGGGTGTAGGGTCCTGGAGTTTGGGATTTGCGGTTGAGGGCTTCAGGACTTAGGACCTATGCTAAGAATGACAAAATCTGAACCCTAAACCCTAAACCCTAAACCCTAAATCCTAAACCCTAAACCCTAAACCCGGATCAGGGCCCGGGGGTGTACCTCCAAGCCCTCCACAAGGAAGGCTAGGCCCTGTAGACTGCTGACAGTGAAGCCTTAACCCGAAACCCGGGAGAACCTTACTTAAAGGATCATGGGACTTAGTAAGTAGGGTTATATTTAGGGTAACTGTACTTATAACTAGACTTTAGGGACTGATAACCTTACTTACTAAGTCCCATGATCCTCCAAGTAGCCATAAACCCCAAATCCCAAATAACTCCGCTCCCCAAAGCTGTGGATACCCCAGCTCTGAACCTCAAGCATTCTAGGTTGCATACCCAACTCCCTAAACCCTTGATGAAGGCCTTTAGTGCTTCCTTGATTTTAAGGGATCCTGGTCCAGGACATTCAGGTGAGTAGTTACCGTTATGAGAGCCTTATATAGACGGTCTATATACCTTATGGAAGCCTTATAGACGCCCTATATACCCTAAACTCCCCACCTCGAGTTTCCTTTAA